ATACACGAGCTAATGCTCTTTTTGAATTAGTCCATTCTGATGTTTGGGGTCCTTGTCCTATTGAGTCCAAAAATGGATTTCGGTATTTTGTTACTTTTGTCGATGATTTCTCTCGTGTAACTTGGTTATATTTGATGAAACATCGTTCTGAGTTACTTTCTCATTTTCGTAACTTTCATGCTGAAATTCGAACTCAATTTGGTGGCTCTCTTAAAGTTCTACGGAGTGATAATGCTAAGGAATATTTTTCTGGTGCTCTTGGCTCCTATTTAAGTGAACATGGTATTATTCATCAATCCTCGTGTGTTGATACTCCGTCTCAAAATGGAGTTGCAGAAAGGAAAAGTAGACATCTTCTCGAAACAGCAAGAGCCTTAATGTTTCAAATGCATGTTCCAAAATACTTTTGGGCTGATGCTGTTTCGACGGCTTGCTTCTTGATTAATCGCATGCCTTCGTCAGTTCTTAAGGGTGGAATTCCTTATCGTACTCTGTGTCCTACGCAACCTTTATTTTCTATTAAACCTAAAATATTTGGTTGCACTTGTTTCGTTCGGGATGTTCGCCTCCAGCTCACCAAATTAGACCCTAAGTCATTGAAATGCGTTTTCCTTGGTTACTCTCGTGTTCAAAAAGAATATCGATGTTATTGTCCTGATCTCAATAGATATCTTGTCTCTCCTGACGTTACGTTCTTTGAAAATACTTCTTTTTCATCGTCCTTGAGTACCAGTCAGGGGGAGCAGTCACAGGAAGATGATACCTTTCTTGTCTATTCTATTGTCTCTACTTCTACTGAAGAACTTCCCCTCTGCGCCTGATCCTTCTCTCCCCACTATTACTCAAGTTTATTCTCGTCGGCAACCTCCTACGGACTTATGCCCTATACCAGCAGCTTCTTTGCCTGTGGATCCAGGAACGAGTGATGACCTTCCTATTGCCCTTCGAAAAGGTAAGCGTAAGTGTACTTATCCTGTTTCTTCTTTTGTTTCATATAACCATTTATCATCATCTACTTGTTCGTTTATTGCATCCCTTGAATTTGTATCTATTCCTAAAACTGTTCGTGAAGCTTTGTCTCATCCTGGTTGGCGGGCTGCTATGTTCGAGGAGATGACTGCCTTAGATGACAATGGTACTTGGGATTTAGTGTCTCTTCCTGCAGGAGAGAAACCTATCGGTTGTAAATGGGTGTTTGCTGTTAAAGTTCATCCGGATGGATCAATTGCCCGTTTGAAAGCTCGCCTTGTTGCTAAAGGATATGCGCAAACTTACGGAATTGATTATTCTGATACTTTTTCTTTTTCTCCGGTTGCTAAATTGACTTCTGTCAGGTTATTCATTTCATTGGCATCTATTCACCATTGGCCCTTGCATCAACTTGATATTAAAAATGCATTCCTCCATGGTGATCTTTAAGAAGAAGTTTATATAGAGCAACCACCAGGTTTTGTTGCTCAGGGGGAGCATGGAAATGTATGTCGCCTTCGTAAATCCTTATATGGGTTGAAACAAAGTCCGCGAGCATGGTTTGGAAAGTTCAGTCAGGTGATTGAGAATTTTGGAATGAAGAAGAGTAAGTCAGATCATTCTGTTTTTTATAAAAGGTCTGAGTCTGGTGTTATCTTACTAGTGGTATATGTTGATGATATTGTGATTACTGGTAATGATTCATCAGGCATCCTATCACTCAAGTCTTTTCTTCATAGTCAATTTCATACTAAAGATTTGGGAATGTTGAAATATTTGTTAGGAATTGAAGTAACAAGGAGCAAGAAGGGGATCCTTTTGTCACAAAGAAAGTATGTACTTGACTTGTTAACTGAAACAGGAAAGTTAGCTGCTAAGCCGCGTAGTACCCCAATGATACCTAATTTACAACTTACAAAGGAAGATGAGTTGTTGAAAGATCCTGAGAAGTATAGGAGATTAGTAGGGAAGCTGAATTATCTTACGGTTACGAGGCCAGACATAGCTTATCCAGTCAGTATTATGAGTCAGTTTATGAGTTCTCCTACGACTGACCATTGGATCGCATTGGAACATATTCTATGTTATTTGAAAGGTGCTCCTGGATGCGGCTTGTTATATAAAGATCATGGTCATCTTAATATTGAATGTTTTTTAGATGCTGATTGGGCAGGTTCTAAGGAAGATAGAAGATCAACCTCAGGATATTGTGTATTTATCGGAGGTAATTTAGTTTCTTGGAAAAGTAAGAAACAAAACGTGGTGTTGCGTTCGAGTGCTGAATCAAAATATAGAGCTATGTCACAGTCGGTGTGTGAATTAGTATGGATACATCAGCTTCTGACTGAATTGGGATTTGACATCACCACTCCAATGAAACTTTGGTGTGATAATCAAGCAGCTCTTCATATTGCATTTAATCCAGTATTTCATGAACGAACCAAACACATTGAAGTTGATTGTCATTATGTACGTGAGAAAATACAGCAAGGATTGGTGACTACAGGGGTATGTGAAGACTGGAGATCAGCTAGGAGATGTGTAAAGCATTGAATGGAGCACGAATAGATTATTTGTCTAACAAGTTGGACATGATTAACATATATGCACCAACTTGAGGGGGAGTGTTAGAGTATATATTAGTATATTTTATATTCTTATATTAATATTAATTTGTCATTTACCTTCTCCTTATAGGATTAGGTCAACCTTGTATATTTGTCTATATATATAGACTTTAATAATGAGAATACAACACATTGGATTCTCTCCGACCTTAGTCTCTACATTCTGCATTAAATACTTTTTCAGTTTTCAAGGCTATCTGGTTGGCGCATGGTTACCCTAGGCGGCTTTTCAATTAAGGATTTTTGGATTTTGAAAAGTCTCTTTGCAGACATTAATCTTTAATTCAGGGATTTCATTGGTTGATGGTTCGATTCCCAAGAAACCATTCTCCTTCTTCTATTCGTTGGCCTAAGAAGTTGAACACTGCCTCTGTTTTTATTATTTATAGCAAGGGATTTTTGAAGCTTCTCTCTGTTTCTAAGAGGTTTGAGAGGTGTTCTTTGGCAGCATGGATACTTCCCTGGATTTATCTAAAAAATTCATGGTTTCTACCCTCAAATACATCTCTAGTCTTTCTCCTTCAAAATTGGATGCATATTTTGTCTTTCTTAACTTCGAGCTTGTCAAGCTTTGTGAAGAATGGGTAACGTTATTAGAAGAGTATACTAGAAAAAGGTTGGAGATACAAGCTGATTGGGATAGAGAAAAAGCTGAAATTCGAGCCAAATTTTCTAAGGAACTCAAAGTCCTCTTTCCAGAAGATAAAGATGGAGCTGATGAAGTGCTCAAAGTTAAAGGCTCTTTTAAAGTTATCCTTTTCATGTCCTCGCATCTTGGTGGATTGCTTTGATTGGATGATCTTATTGTTGGCTTCATTGTTCTTATATTGATTGGATCGCTCCTTGTTGAGCCTCTTTTTTGCTTGGTTCATTTTTCGTTTTCTTTCACTACTCTGGGAGTTTGTATCTTTGAACTTTTTCTTCTCTTCTGTTGGTTTTATATATTTAATATATAATTATTGTAATTATTTACTTTTTATTTATTATGCAGGAGTTTATATTCCCTTTATCATTTGTAATTAGGACTTTATAGTTCTAGTTTCCTTGTTAAGGATAGTTTCTCACCTATATTTAAAAGTGGCTAGGGTTTTATATTTTAATATTCTTCCTTTTAAAATTGACCTTTCATATATCAATGTTGTTTCTTCTAAAAAAAATAGTTCCTAGTTGGTTAGTGTTTCCTTGTGTTATTTTCCTTTTTCGTTTTTCCTGTATTTGTTATTTAGGCTAGCCTTTTTTTTGGAAACTTTATTTAGACTAGCTTTGTATCCATCCTTTTCAGGTAAGCAAGAAGTTTTCTTTATCATTCACACAAACAACTCCAAACAAGTAAATTGGCCTTTCTTCCCTAAAAATATAGGTTTATAAAGCTAGGCTTCGACATAATGGGCAAGTTGTTGCTGTCAAAGTTCAAAGGCCTGGAGTTCAGGCTGCTATATCCTTGGATATCTTGATCTTGCGCTATTTAGCAGCTGTATTTCGCAAAGTTGCCAAATTAAATACCGATCTTCAGGTAACCTATGAACATTATTCTAAAAGAGCACACCCATTAAAGAACATTCTTGGTTCTCATTACCATGTATGTAAATGCCCCCTTCCCTCAGTTTCTTTTAGGACTAAGTGAGCTTGGTTGTGCAAAATTTCAACCCACATTCCATATTTGTCATCACATATAATTTGAGCTAATGACTTTCAATATGCAGGCGGTTGTTGATGAATGGGCAACAAGTCTTTTCAAAGTATGTATTATGTTCCATATCTTGAACTCAAACTAATTTGTTGGTTTATCATTTTTGAATATTAGCGGTAAATATTAATGATTATTTTATTCTTATTTCCTTTTCTTTATTGAGCCTTTCTATATAAGAAGGATATGTAAGTATTTCTTACTTTTGATATACGGAATATACAAATATTTTATTCCATCTAAATCAAGTAGGACACTTTTTTAAAGCAATGAAGTTTCCATGATAGTGCTTCAAGCATCCTTCTAATCCATATACCTTCACAAATTTCATGAGCCAATGCTCTAAACTTTGATTCAGCACTACTCCTGGCCACTACATTTTGTTTTTTGCTCCTCCATGTAACTAGATTTCCTCCAACAAAGGAACAATAACCAGAAGTAGATCTTCTATCAGTAGTGCTTCCCGCCCAATCTACATCAGTATAAACTTCTACTTGGAAGTGGTTATTCTTTTCATATAGAATACCTTTTCCAGGAGTTCCCTTCAAATATCTCAAGATTCTGTAGACAGCTTCAAAATGAGTTGGTCCAGGTGCATGCATGAATTGACTTGCCATACTTACAGCAAATTCAATATCTTGTCGTGTATGTGATAGATAAATTAATCTTCCCACAAGCCTCTTATATTGTTCCCTATCCTTTATTTCTTCTGCATTTTCTGCTTGTAATTTCAAGTTAGGTTCAATAGGAGTTTCTGCAATCCTGCAACCAAGCAATCCTGTTTCTCCAAGTAAGTCAAGAACATATTTTCTTTGATTAACGAATATACCTTTCTTCGATCTTGCAAATTTCATCCCTAGAAAATATTTTAATGTTCCCAAGTCCTTGATTTGAAACTCACTTGCCAGATTTTTCTTAAGATCAGCTAGTCCTACTTCATCATCACCGGTGAGAATAATATCATCTACATGGACAATCAGAATTGAGATTTTATTATTCTCAAAGTGTTTATAAAATATAGTATGGTCAGCTTGACTTTGAAGAAATCGATAACTTGATATGACTTTTTCGAATCGTTTGATCCAAGCTCTAGGAGACTGTTTGAGGCCATAGAGAGATTTCTTTAATTTGCAGATTTTATTCCATCCGAGTTCCTTTTCAAAACCTGGAGGCAAATTCATAAAAACTTCTTCCTCAAGGTTGCCATTAAGAAAAACATTTTTCACATCAAGCTGGTAGAGAGGCCAATCTGAATTAACTGCAAGAGACAAAAGAACTCTAATAGAGTTAATTTTTGCAATAGGAGCAAATGTTTCCTGATAATCTATCCCGTAGGTTTGAGTGAAACATTTAGCTACCAATCCAGCCTTGTATCTCTCGATGCTACCTTCTGCATTACATTTTACGGTAAACACCCATTTACATCCCACTGGTTTCTTATCTTTTGGCAACTCTACTATCTCCCAAGTACTGTTTTGCTTTAGAGCATTCATCTCCTCCATGACAGCTAGTTTCCAATTTGGATCTTCTAAAGCTTCATGTATATTCCTTGGAACAAACAAATTAGTCATCCTAGATGTGAAGGTCTTATGACTATTTGATAGTTTTTCATATGAAATGTAGTTCGAAATAGGATATTTGGTACAACTTCGAACACCTTTTCTAATGGCTATGGGAGCATCAAGGTCAGAGACAACAAGTGAATTATTTTGAAAATTTGAAGAAGAGGGATTACCAGACAAAGTTGAAGAGGGAGGATTATCAGACTGTTCAGTTTCATTTCTCGAAGTCTGAGATTGGCTTTGTGAAGGAGTAACTATTTGATCTTGGTTCCTCTCATTGAATTTCCTTCTAGTATAAAACTTTAACTCAGAATTAGGATTCGCAGAATCGTTTTGTAGTATTTCTCCCCCTGATTGGACAATTTCTATACTTGACATCGAAAGACTAGTAAAATCCGAACAGATAGGACTAGGAAGAGGAACAGAAATATCCCAAATATTATCTTCCAAATTCATTTTCTCCCCCTGAAGAGAATGTTGGGTAAAATATGGTTGATTTTCTAAAAAAGACACATCCATACTCACAAAAAGTTTTTTTGTCTGAGGATCAAAACATTTATAACCCTTTTGACCTGAAGCCTAGCCTAAGAAAATACATTTAATAGCGCAAGGGTCAAGTTTTGACCTGAAATAACTAGGTGTGTGAACGTAAGTAGTACACCCAAAAACTTTAAGAGGTAGATTAGAATATATGCGGGATATTGGAAAAACATTTTTAAAGGACTCAATAGGAGTTTGAAATTTAAAACTTTAGTAGGCATTCTATTTATTGGGTAGGTCGCTGTGAGAACCGCTTCCCCCCATAAATCTTTTGAAAATGCATAGAAAACATTATAGCACGTGCTACTTCAAGTAAATGCCTATTTTTTCTTTCATCAATCTCATTTTGTTGAGGAGTATTTCAATAAGTAGACTGATGAACCATAACTTTTTCTTCAAAAAGTTACCCAAAAACTCATTAAAATACTCAGTTCCATTATTAGAATGTAAAATACAAATTTTTGTTTGAAATTGAGTTTCACTCATCTCACGAAAGTTTTTGAAAATGTCTTTCACCTCAGATTTTTTTGACATAATTAACCCAATACAGGCGAGTATGATCGTCAATGAAAGTAATAAACCATCTTCTTCCACTATGAGTACTGATTTTAGAAAGACCCCAAACATCACTGTGAATTAAGTAAAATGGTTTGGATGCTTTATAAGGTTTTGGAAAATATATGGAGCGATGATTTTTTGCTAAAACACAACTTTCACAATTAAAAGATGAAGAATCAATTCCTTTAAATAACTTTGGAAACAAATATTTTAAATAGAAAAAACTGGAATGTCCTAGTTTACGATGCCAAAGCATAATTTGTTCCCTATCAAAAACAAAACTAATACTACTAAGACCCTGAGTTATTTTATTACTAAAGGTACCTTCATCCAAAGTAGTAGAGACCATCAAGCATCCTACCGCGGCCAATTATCCTGTTCGAGTTATGATTCTAAGAAATACAATAGGATTCAAAGAAAGTAACACGACATTTAGAATCTTTAGAAAGTTGGTTGACAAATAAAAGATTACAGGCTAATTGTGGAACATGGAGGACAGACTGTGACGAAATGGTCTCAGTCAATTTAATGGTTCCTTTTCGTACAACAGAAGAAAAACTACCATCTGCAATTATAACTTTTTCATTGGAATATGAAGGAATGTATGATTCAAAGAGATGAGAAGAACTTGTCATATGATCACAAGCTCCAGAATCTACAATCCATGGAGATGAGTTACTACACGAGAAAGTCTTAGAATAAATACTTGTTTGTGTCAAGGATACACATGAATTATTCGAAGCTAAATTGGTGCATAGCAATTTCAAGAGTCGATGAATTTGCTCTATACTTGAGTCACCATTATTGTCACCGAACATTCTTCAATAATTGTTCTTAGAAATTTGGACCATTTTAAATGAACAAACTGTTCTGAACCAAGGTTGTCAACTGAACCAAATTAGATTAAAATCAACCAAACAAAATCAGGCAATAAAGAGATAAAGGAGAGTCAAACCAAACCAGAAACAGACCAACCAGCAGGACCAACTCACAGCACTGAACCAAACCTCATGAACCGAACCGGTCTAGCGTTTAAAAAAACAGAAACACACTTGAATCTGAAATCTTTTAGGTTTTTGACTTCTGACGAGGCGACGGTTGCCGAGTCCACGAAGAATAGTCTGTGGAGAAGAAGCGGCGTACGTGATGGGAACAGATCGACGGACGGGTGGCAGACAAAAGTGTGCGACGACGAATGGCGGCGGGGAACGGATGATGAACGGCGACCTAGCGAACTACGGCGGTGGATGAACTGATCGAAAAAATCTGTGAATGATGTCGACAGATTATGATTGTGACGAAGAGAACGATTGCATAGATCGACGGAGAGGACGATTGCGACGAGCTGGAGATCGATCAACGTCACGACGCGACGGTAGGTCTGTAAGTGTGACACCGATGGGATTGACGG